CACCCTCCCTGTGTCACTCCGTCTCCTTCGCTCCTCTCCCAGTCATGCGGCCCTGCACTCAGTGCTCTCATCCCCTTACTTGCCGCCCGGCCCCCCCTCACCAATCTCATTCATTGATATAGATGCGAGTGTCTTTTGCCTTCCTTCGTTTGCCGCTCCCTTCCCCGTTCAACTTCCTCCATCTTTTCAGTTCTCCCTCTTTCAGAGCTTTCCCCTCTTTCACGCAGGCTACAGAAGAACTTCCCGTTGGCGTGCAGTGTGCGGACGTGTAACAGGCGTGGCAGCTGGAGTCCCACTTTGTTTTTATTGCTGCTGCACTTTCGCTCCGTCCTCCGGAGGAAACCGTCTAAAATATCCAGTTTTGTACTCATTACGGCTCCCGGAAGGCTCAGAGGGGGGAACGGGGGGCTATCGAGCGAAGGATGCGTCGCATGCCTCGACTTTGCAAGCAATGTTTAATCTTACCGGACTCAAACGAGCGTCTGTGTCTCCCAGCGGCACGCAACAGTGGGCTTAGCGTTGCGCTTCATCTCCGAACACCTAGAAACTCTGTTTGCATGTGAGAGCAAGAAAAGTACATTTCTGATCATAATTCAACGCGACGCGTCATGCAGCACGACAGCAGGCCGCTCCGCAGAGTACATTTTATGGACTTATCTTGTGTTAGTCCTCCAGATCCTCGCTACTCTCACTAAAAACCTAAATGTTGTGTTTTCTGCCTGCCGTGTCTCTCCCTGTTACCCTCTTTTCCTTGGGTGTGTAATGAAAAAGGAGGGGTTGTCTTGTCAACTGTAATAGCAGTATTTGGCCTTCTCCCATGATGGGTGCACCATATGTGTGTGTGTGTGGGGGGGGAGGGCTGGCACAAGGCCTGAGATAAACAGCACCCTTTGTCAGTCCATTTCCTTGAGATGCTCAGTCAGAAAAGGAAAAGGCAAATGGCCAAAGCGCTATTTTTCTTTAAATTCTGCCACAATGACTCAAACTTTGTCTTTTACTTTCACTTCCTGCTTTTTCACTTGATCTCAGCTGTCCAAAAGACGGCAGAAAGAACAACAGCCCTCTGTCTGCTGCCGTATCTAGACACTGTAGGGAACCATCAGCCTCATAACTCAAACAGCACTCACGGCTTATCGAGGAAATTACTTTTATATTGAGCGTGAATCACACATTATCCACAGGTGATGAGGACGTGTGTCGGCGGTGGAACCTCCCAAGAGTTGCTTGAGCGATCACAATTACTGCAAGAGCTCGTTAGCTGAATTTCCATTCATCTCGAAATTGTGCAAATTGGAATTATAAAAATAAACTGGCTTGATGAAAACACAGCGATTTCAGGAAAAATATATTTAATGCAACGTTTTTGCGGTATGATGACGTGATTTTTCAGCCGTACCAAAATTAATTTGTTTGCAATTATTGTCTTGCAATGAAAGCTGCAAACTGCGCTTATTTGTAGGCAGTGGCCTCCTTGGACAAGGCAGCTGGCTGCGCTAAAGGTAGCTCACTACGCAGCATACATAGCCGCTTCCAAGAATAGACGACTTGTCACTCCAACGTCTAGTGCTGTGGCTGAATTATGTGTACGTCCATCACTCACATGATTTTCAATGACTTATATTGTGAACAGGTTTATTCACGTGCATTTCGCCAGTCATATTTCTGTTTTTTTATCTGTATGCAGATGTTTTGAGCGCAACGTTTTCCAGCGAAAGGCTGTGCAAATAACTTGAGCTTGCGCTTTTTAGCAAAACACCTGCATGGAGCGTGGCGTGTGCCTGCACTACCGTAACAGACAGCCTCGGAAAACGAAGGGGTTTCGTCTGTCTTATCCCCATCTCACTTGCAGTTTGTGGAAGTTTTAGCCAGGCACATACTGAAGCTGCATGGCTTGTTTTTTATTTAGTGCAAACCAAACCAAATCTTTGTTCCTGCCCTTCAGCGATCCTGAGCGGTCCAGGCCAGCGGCCAGGCCAGCGGGAAGCGTCCCAGTGCTCCCGATGGCCAGGTGGCTTTAAGTAAACAAACACCACAACAAATAGCGTGGAGAGACCGGAAAAAATGTGAGAAAGATTCTGTGCCAAGAGTTTAGTGAGACTAAATAATGAAATTCAATTTCTTGAAGTGGCAGGCAAGCAGAGTCTCTTGGGAAGTTTTTCTCTTTTGCCTCCCAGTCTGAATCTGTCGACCACCTCTCGAGCACCTTCACAAGCACACTTTGATCAAGCCAAACCCTCTTCACCCGAGTCCTACCTCTCCTCTCCCAGCCGCTTCTCTTTAAAAGCACAATTTCTTCCACCCAATCTCATTCTCTGCTCACAATCTCAATTACTCTACTTTCCCACATGTCTCGGCTCCCCCCCCCTCCCCCGCCCCTCCCTCCTTCTCTCTGATCCTTCTCTATCGTATTTTTGCCACTCCATTGTCTCAGTCCATTAGGCAGACACAAATCCGTTTGGAGACAGAGTCTGAGTGCAACCCCGTCCTCACTCTCCAGGGCCCCAGCGCAGCCAGGAGAAAGCTCTCAGGGGAGGCAAACTCTGCCTCGTGGCCTGGGAAATCCATTTAAACCTCTGCCATGGACTGCTGCTCTTTCCTGCTGCCTGCTGCACGTACAGTACATGTGCTTAGTAGGGAATGTTGTCCCGGCAAGAGGTCTGTGACTCTCCTCACTTCCCAGCTGCTCTTTTATTCCCCTACATGCCTCGAACTTTCAGTGTGACATCAAAACATTCATTCAACAGGCAGTCGACAGAAAGAACGAGATCGATTATTACTGGGATCTGTGACAAGCTGGCAACTGTTGGCAAATACAAGTTGACGATGGCAAACACTAAAGTAATTGTCCACTGTCAGAGGCGAAAGATTTAAGAAGATACTGGTCAAAAGCATTAATAAAGAGTTTATCGAGGCAGCCAGTACTCTGTTTAAATCACGTGGCAGCCATATTGATTCTTGAGTTTGGGATTAGGGATTAAAAACAGCCAAATCTCCAACTTAGTAGAAAACAAACCACACAAGTAAAGCATATCCATCCATCCTTCTATCCATCAGGCCAAATGCAGAAACATTTTAGGAAATTTCTTTGTATTCACTGTTTAAGAAAACAAAAGCATCTGGGTTTGATGGGTGTAAACAATTTTGAGCTTAATTTGAATATTGTCTACCAGGAACCGTACTGCCAAATGTGGGTGCCACACAGCAGTGCCTGTGTATGAAGGAGCGCGTTTTTAAATAGAAGCTGACGGTTCCCTGCCATATCTTCCCTTGCAGCAATAATGAGAAGCAGCAGAACGTAGAGCTTCAATGGTGGCCGCTGGTCTTGCCATGTCACTCCAGCTCATGTCTCTGCAGCTACATCAACCTGTTGACACCAGAGGGTCACCAGACAAATGCAGAGATGACAACAGAGAAACCGATAGGACGGATGAGCCAGAGCGAGCTCCAGTGTGGGCTTTGCACTGCCACTGGAAAATGCGTCTCACTTTCACCAACACAAACAGCACGACCAAAGCAAGTTCAGTTCGGTTGTGTCTTATTCTCCCTCTTTAAAGTGAATGTGACAGCTAAGTACATCAGAAAAGCCAACATGTTGTCAGCAGCTGAGGAATCTCTAAAGGGTGCGTGAGGTTTCACTTTCCCCACATGGAGATTTTGTTTTCTGAACTGGTCATTTTTCAGTTCGGTGACAAGGCAGCACTAACTGAATGAGCCGATTTTGCTCAAATCCAGATCTCAATGGGCCACAGATAAAGCAGCAGCAGATTGCTTTATCCCATTAGGCAAGGCCTAGTAAATAGGCAGAGATCTAGCGCTCTGTCCTGGTGCAATCTCCAGCTGATCCTGTCACTGGCACCAGCTCTGTTGGCAGTTTGTCTTTCAAGTCAGGGCCCCCAGCTAAGCCTGCCTGTCTGTCTTTATGCACATGGAGATAATATGAACCAGCGCGGTTCACTTTCACACCAAGTGAGAGCATGAACCGAGGCATTTTTCTGTTTGCGGGATGCGGTCATGAAGTCACAATAGTGCAAAAGAGGCACGCATTAAAATCTAGATTGAGGAAAAGTGAATTATGAGAGCAAAATTAGATAATATCCTGCATTTCACCACCAGATGAAAAGTAGTTGCATTTACCTAAATGTTTCAGATATTTAATGAAATTTTAACATCAGACAATTTTTTTTTCTTGAGAAAAAAGCACAACTCTTCCTTTTAAATATTTTGATTGACCAGATTTTTTTTTTTGCGAGGGGGAGTGCAATTTTACAAGCCTCACCGTTAGAGGTAGCAGATCACTTAAATCACTTAAATACAACCTGTTGGATAGCACAAAGCAGGCTAAGAGATGACAAACGGTCATTGACAAGTCTATAATTTTCTGAGGCTTTGGGATTGCAGTAAACCACAGTGGGAGCCATTATCATGATGAGACAATGAAACAATAGCGAATCTTCCCAGAAGTGGTTGACCTACCAAAAATTACTCCACAAACAAACATACAAACAGACCGCACAACACTTAAATTTGCATTTGTTTAACAAAAAACCAAAAACAGAAGTAATCTGCAGATACGCATATGAACACGCTGAGCTTCAGAGGCAAATGAACCAATACATGTAGCCACTAGTTATCTGTTTTGGTTCACTGGTATATATTTAATCACAGAAAAAAAATAGTATTTACCTTAGAAAATAATTTATACCAATGTACCAATAAAGGCGGCAAAAGTACCAAGAGTGGTGATTGTGCTTAAATTGCACTTTCAGCAGTATGGATGCAGAGGTTGGTGGGGTAATCACGTCTATTAAGGTTATGCTGGACTAACAGCAGTCCATGAAAAGTGAAATCTGTAGGGCATTTTGCATAAAAGCAGGACAGAATAATTGGAAAACTGAAGTTTATTCATTTTCTAATGTTCAAATGACCTGTCCATTATTCCTTAAAACGTTTCTGCAAATTCTAGAAGCGTTTGGTTTCCTGCAATCTCTCTTGAGTCCTACCTTGGCGGCCATGATCATCGAAGAGCCTCCACGTACTCCGAGGATGGGAATGTGGGTTTGGGCTGAGATGAAGTCCAGGATCTGCGCGATGGCCTCCTGGTCTGTGTCGTCCCCAAACACGACACCCTGCAGCCAGTGCTCTGTCATCAGGTCACAGATGCTCTTTATAATGCTTTTGGGGTCCGTTTCATTCATGGTCAGCACCTCCACGTTCGGAGCAATGTGGAGAAAGTCCTCCTTCTCTCTGGCCCCTGCCAACGCCACCTCGCTGGAGTTCCCCACCAGTACGACAGCGATGCTCAGGCCCCGCAGGATGTTAGGCAGGGCCATGTGGTGAGGAGGGGGCTGTGGGATGGGCATGTAATGGCCGCCACCGCCTCCTCCGCCCTTTTCTCTCCGTGAGTGACAGGCTGGGGGTAGGTGGAGAAGACAGAGCAGCAGAAAAAGGAGAGGCAGGCATAAAGGCGTGCCTGTGGTGCGGTGAATCGATGGAGGTGGATAAAGGGTCCGAGCCCCATGTTGCACCTGAGCAACCATTCGGGGGGAGAAATGAGCCCCAGCATGTCGGTGAGGCAGGGAGGAGCTGCAGCGTCCACGAAGAGGCATAATGTAGGAGCGGGAGAGAAATACCTGGAAAGACAGGAAATGAGCAGGGAGTAAGGGAGAGAGGAAGGAAGGTGTTGAAGAGAAAGAATCAGAAGTTAGCATAGAGTCGTAATTCAATTTATTTCAACAAAAAGCTCAAATGTTACATCCGTCTTGTGTTTCAAATCATATCTATAAGCTCAAAGATTTGGAGAGTTGGAGTAATGAAAAGAAAGGGAGACACTTGTTCTAAGTTCGATCTTTGTACATCGAAGAAGTCAAGCTTGACACTTAAAAATCAAAGCGACAATACAGAAAACAATGTCAACCAAGAATGTATGCAGAATCTGGTTACAGTATATGTTACAGATAAGATGCTGGTCTCTTGATTGGATGGGAGAACAGAGGGATGCAAAGGAGAGAGCAACAGCGAGAAGGGATGTAGGGGAAGGAAAAAAATGAAGCAAGTATGACAGGAAGGGCAGATGGAGGGAAAGACGACTAAACGCCGACTCGGGCTAACTGACAAACTGTCTGGAGCAAGATGAGTGACACAGCAACCCGAGACACAGACATACTGACTGATGCTGAAACTAATTAAGTGATTGACGGTAGAGGCGCTCTGGACAATTCACAAGGCTTTGAAATGAAAGCTGCCCTCTCCCTCCGTCAGCCCCTGTTGGCCTAGTTTAACACTCTTCTGCTGCTCACCCCTCCCTTCATTCTTAGGGAGGGGTGAGCAACACTCGTTCGTTCTACTTGACCGTACCTTGCTCTCACTGACTGACTCCCTCTTTTTCTGTGCTTTTTTATAGAGTTTCTTAATAGTGGGAATGCAGATGGGTGGGAGGGCCTGGTGAGACGATGAGCAGTGGGCAGAGCAAAACGGAAAATGACAATGAAACTTCGGATTCAAGAGAAACACTGTGTGATCTTTCTTGCTGTGGAGTCATCGAGCCAGTCATGGTCATTTTGAGGGGGTTCTGTTGGACCGCAGGGTGCCAGGAATGCGTGTGTATAGCCAGAGAAAGAGCTCTGTTGACATTCCCAATCAATACTCAAGCTTGTTCTCAGAGCAGTGATTCCAGTTTGTGGTGTTTAAGGCAAGGATCTCAGCATAGCTGTGGAGAAGAAATGTCTGGTTTGGTAACCTCTGGGTGTTAGATGATGATGTCTTCCTGTTGACATCCTCAAGTCATAATCTATGTCAGGAACTGGAACGGATCCCAAACAAGCGTGAAGGGACAAGAAGGAGAAGCAGAGCCTCTGTATCTGACCCACAAGGGTTTGATCTGGAGAAAGGCTGCCTGGTCCTAAGGTTGAGGGTGATTTCGGTCTTAAGTGTCTTGATGGTCTATCCTGCCATCACTCTTCTTTATGAGTGATGGTAGGGTAGATCTGCCAATGGACAGAGATTTGACAGAGTTGTCAGCAACAATATGATTCCAGCTCTGGTTTGTCGTGGTGAAGAAAGAATAAAACTAAAAAGAAAAGCATTTTTTATTCTACCATCCGATCTGGATACCTCCAAGAACCCATTGGAGATTTGCAAGGCATGTCACTGGGGAGAGACCCAGGGGCAAACCAACAAAAAACTGGAGGCACTTTATATACTTCCTGGTAAGGGATACCTTGCTGTTTTCCTAAATGAGCTGGAAAGTGCTGCTGGGAAAACGGTTTTGTGGAAAGATCGGACATATTGGCAGGAAAAGGAGACACAAAGCTGCACATGAAGCAGCTCTCTTAGAAGATTGTTTGTTACTGTATGTTTACATGCGGCTGAGTGGGAGGGCGTTCATCCCCCTGAGTTTGTTCGCATATAGCCAGAGTGGGTGTAGGTGGAATAGATGTTTGCCTCACTTTCGTGGGCAGATGATACCAGGGAAGATGTGGATGTAGCAGCTCATAAACTTGAGCGGCGCATCGTGGGTCTAACTCGCAAATGAATGCAGCTAACGAGGCAGATGGAAGTTACAGTGGCAAACAAAAACGCTCAGACAATATCCACCGCGTGAAGCTGACAGCTGATAAGCCGAGGAATGACAAAGAGGGAGGAAAAAGCAAGAAGAAGATTGAGGCGGGGATAAAGGGACGCATGCGGAGATGACAGAACAACTTCTTAGGGGAAAACTAATTGCTGGAGGTTCGTCAGCTCTAATTACAGGTCCCTGTGTTAATATTCAATTGCACACCACTCCGCAGGAAGGGTGGAGAGGTGGGAGGGAAAGAAGGAGGGAGAGATAATAGGAGGCACAAGGACATGAAGTGGGGATTGGGGAGAGGGAAGCAACAAGAGGGAGGTAGTGCAGACTGGAGCACAGGAGAGGAAAGGGAAGAGAAATGCAACGAGAAGGATGGAGGGAACGAGGAAGACAGCAAGGAGAATTACAGAGTGAGACGGAGAGAGAAAGATTTGGCCTCTTTGAATCTGGACTTCACTGGCAGCACTCTGTTTCCATGGCAACAATTAAAATAGGCCTACATATACAAGACAGCTGATGGACACCGAGATATACACATACCCACCAGCATGCGCCGGCGCTTTGTAATGAGCACTGATCGCGTAAATGTGGCAATACAGTCTAGAGTGCACTCACTCTGCTGTGCATCGCTGAAGTGGATGTACTTAAACCAAAGTTCCCGCCACACACACAAAGATTTTGGACAGATTTTTACAGATAAACAGACACAGAAATGCTGCTTTTCATGCATCCTCTAGCAGCAAAATTACCATCTTGTTCTGCCTTTCGCTGCCTCTGACACAAGTACTCAGCACCCGGCAGCCACACACACACACACACACACACACACACACCCTGGCACTCGACGCCACCCTCTTACAGATTATATTAGCCAACATACTGTGTAATTTCAATGATCATTCAGAGAGATGCAGCCATTAAAAAGGTCCCACAGCGACTGGAAGAATGGCTCATGAAGGAACACAAAGGGCATGTATTCACCTGTACATTGCACAGTTGATGTTATGACACTAAATGACCCCATTTTCCCACCAGGGAACCTGCCATTTGCCCCATTACCCACACAGGGAACATAGCAGCCATATCAGTTACACAAATGTGCACTGCAGTTTCTTCGGACTTAAGACCGTGCAGGTACCCGGGCTTACGCAACATTTTCTGCCTTAAAAAAGAAAACAACTTAAATTGATGACATTGGTGCAACAAGAATGAATATTGCACACCTTATTTTGAACAGAAGTTCTGGATTTATACTGCTGGAAGAGAAATTGAGAAATTTTACCCAAACATCAGATAAAATAGATATATAAGAATATCAATATTCTATATAGGTATATAGAACAAGCTTGAATAAGGATTGTGTCATGCTCCACAAACTACCATTTTGAACCCTACGGCTCAGTGCTCCAATAACTTGTATGATGATTTTTCTATTGGCTTGTAAATTTAATGTTGGGGGAAATTCCAGTTTCAGGAATTTTCAATGATAATCCAAACATAGCCCAAATATTATCTTATCTTTTTTTTTTTATCCAGTTTGAAACACAGTTTGGGCTTACTGTTGAAGATTTAAAACAATCATTTAGTTGATTGTGGGTAGGTTTTTAATTTTTTTTTTCCAAAATCAGCTAAATAGTCTTTTGGATTCTGTGTTTATATGCAGTCAAACATTTTTGACGCTCATGCATGATCAGCCAGAGCAAAAGTCCAGATGCAATTGAAAGTTAGAAATAGCTTTCATGATAATTTATGTGCATGCTTTTCGTTTACAGAGTAAGAGAGTACTCTGGAGATATTTTGATTTTTTTTGCTCAATATAAGGATCAACACATTTTATATTACCAGACTTCTCCTCCACGTGAAGGAATAAAAGGAGGTAAGATGGTGAAATGCTTTATAATGATGTTCATGTCAGTGAGTTGTGCTAATGACTTTGGTCTTGAGATCAAGTTTGGTTCACATTAGCCCATTAGCCTTCAATCTGCTAAGTAGTTACTACAACCTTTGTTAATTATTCACACTTATACCAAAGAACATGTCGTCAAGTCAGTTTTTTCAAACCATATTTTGTGCAGTGTTTTATATTGAGTCTGAATTGCTGCCTCGCAGCAAGAAAGTTTAAATCCCGTCGTTTGCATTGTGGGTGTCTCCCACAGTACCAAAACATGAAAGTTTGGTTAATTGGCAACTGTAACTTGCCCCTGGGTGTGACTTTGTGCATGGTTATTTATCCTGCAACATTAAAGCAGCTGTAGAAATGGGTTAGATCAGTTCATGTTTGACCCAAGAAAGGCTTAGCAAAATAACCCAAATGAGCTGATTTCATCCCATCAGCTTCCAGAATGTATGTGTGTCCTATTTAAATGAGGGGAAGAAGAGTACAAGAGTAGTTAGAGGCAGACCATCTAACTGGGGCTAGTCCTACTTAAAACACTAATTTCTTTTCCAAATTTCCCAAGTCAGTATGTCCCGTTGGGACATGGAGGCAGTGATATCCAACGAAATGAAGCCTTGTTTCTCCATGCTCGATAATAAATCCTTTTGTTAAACCAACACCACTGTTAGGAAAGGCTCATATAAGACGACGACGATTTTGCACCTTTCACAAAGAGCCGTTTTCCCTTTAAGAACTGAAGTGGGCCTAAGGCATGGAGCAGTTACCACCTTTTACACAAACATATTGGGAACAAAAGGTAACATTCCTGCCGAGAGACCGAAGCCATCAGTAGATGCAAAAAAAAAAAAGCTTTTTAGGACAAGTCAAAACAGCGTTTTGTCAAAAAAAATTAGAAACGATGTAAAAACAAAGCAGTTCATTTATTATGAAGGAAGAGTTTTCAAAGCACTGCGAATTGCTGTAAAACAGAACAGTGAGTACCTCTCACTGCGGCTACTGTAGAGGCCAGAGGCAGATTCAGTCATATTGGAGCCCAAGGCGAAAGATAGGCTTCCGGCCCTCCAGTTCCCTATTTTGTCATTATTTTTTAACCGCTATTTCTCTAAGACCTACTTTCAGCTGATTGTTTCTGACTGCTGCGAATAAGAAGTTTATCTAGTTTAACT